TAAATGCCACCCCGCACAGACTCTGGCCGGGTCTGGGGCCGATCATGTCTTGCTGTGCTGAAGCAGCCCCTTTTGGCCAACGCGCTCTGCCCGGGGCGTATGACAGCAGGACATTGAGCTAACGTGCCTGCTGGGGGGCTGAAGTCAGTGTCCTTTCACGGGAATCTGTGCAAGTGGCAAGCATGATCTCACAAGGGAGGCCTTATTGTGCATGCGGATGCATGTTGTTGCTAAGCCTGTTTGCAATTGCCTCATGCACATAACAATTTAGCATTCTGGTGTTTTCAGAAGCGAGTCAAGAAGTGTTAAACATATTGCTTTCATGTGCAATCTTCGTGCAAGCTGCAAGCCTATACTGCAAGTCGATGGATGCAGGCATGGTGTGTTTCTGGTAAAGTTGGGATAAAGGGGGTTTGATTCCTGGGTTTGGCGTTTTGGAGAAACATCCCATCCATGTACCGGTGTTGTGTCACTACGTATCTAGAACATATATATATATATATATGTATATACTCCTCGAGGGAGAGAGACAGAGAGAGATTGGTAGACAGATAAATAGATAGAGACAAAGAAAGAGGGCAAGCGCCCGGGAGATTTTGCTGCGTGAGTGCCTGCGTCAGAGATATCGGGGAATTCTTATTATGTTGAACCGAAGAAGTGACAGCTCGAGCATCAGTTATCGCTTTAGATGGCCCGTGCAGAGATCCCCGCCGCTTATGATGCCACGGAAGCTGAGAGGCTAAGTGCGCTCTGGGTCGTCGTCACCACAGCGGTAGAACAGCTGAATTGCTTGTCGTCCGAGTTGCCGAGATTGCGGTCATGGCTGGATCGGGTATCGAGTGAAGTGTGCTCTCTGCGATCGCGTCTAGAGTCCTTTGAGGAGGACTTGGTGGGGTCTTTCATGGATGTGCACGAGCGCATCGATTTGCTTCACTCGCGTTCTGCTGCCTATGACCATGGTCTCGATGATCTGGGGCCCCAAACTACAGACATTAGCTTGGACACTATGGATTAAGCAGCGGTGCTTTATGCCGTACGAGGAGGACATTCGAGATCATCTGAGGTCGCCCCAGCTTAGTGTGATTCCGGGATACAAATTCTAATGAACTTGCTGTCCGACGAACTCAGAACGGCTTCATGACGGGTCTGTAGCTGTTGTGGTTCTTGTGTGTTCGTGATCCTGAATACTGAAATATTTCATGTAGTGACTCCCGGCAGAAGTCCGACGGAGCACGTCCTTTCGAAGCAAAACCCAGGGTGCTAGCTGTCCCACTGTGATGCTCGGTTCATGCGAGAGAGAGAGAGAGAGAGAGAGAGAGAGAGAGAGAGAGAGAGAGAGAGAGAGAGAGATGGAGCAAAACGGAAGGCCAATGGACAATTGGCGAAGGCGGTGTGCTTTGCTCAGCTCCTGTGGCTGCAGGCAGGAGCTCGGAGAGAAGTGTTTTCGGACCGGATATGCGCACGTTTATGTAGCTGATCCACGCAATCTACATGTCTTCCAATATATGCCCATCACCCAAGCAAGACCGAGTGAAAACAATCATTGCGACAGGTGACGATGACGAGATTGCCGAGCCGCCGCAACCACCCCCCAATTTGCTAAGGGTTGCCTGGCCTATGTCATGTTTTCTGCCTTGCGTAAGGTGCCTACTCCTAAGAAAGCTTAGGCAAACGATGGTTCGATTCCGGGAGACCAGCCAGATGATGAGCAAAACGAGGCCGAACACGAGCCTCCCGCGCGTGTGTGAGACACTTTGTTGACCATGTTGTGAGTTTCGGCATCTCATCATGTTGCATGCTGCCCAGGAAGAGAAAAAGCCGAAGCGGGTGTACGATCCGCATAAGGGCCCGCTGTTCTCTGTGTACGTGGCCTTCTTGGAGCCTCTTGTCTTCAGCTTCCATTTTTGGCGGTGTATCCTGTCTTGGGGGGGTGTTTTGTGATCCCTGCACTCCTGCAGGAAAGCGAGAGCCAAAGGCATCAAGCACATGGTGTCCTTGCCGCACTAGATGTCCTAGATTACAGCTTTGAGTCGACTTCTCGCCAGCTTCGTCTTGTGTGCTCGCGTTTCACTTGTTTCAGATATTGTCCAGAGATTGCCATGCACTGTTCTTCAGGAAGCTGTGAAGCTGTGGAAGCATTCCCAGATCAGGGCGAATCTTGGCCATATCTCCTTTAACTTGGGCGTCTTAAGCGAACTGACATGCACATCCTTGCTTTGAAGCGAAACTCCCCTAGCTTCAGTTCCTCCAGTGACGTGCGCAATTTTGAAATCCTGTCTTGCATGTTGGAGTGGCTCAGGGTGATGCTGGAATCTATTCCGGAGGATGAGCGCAAATGCCGCCGTTATGGATGAGCGTCTTGTGCCTGCACAGAAGATCGGCCACGGTACCAACATGTTGGCTTCTTGGTGCTGACATCAGGGATGTGATGTAGCACGGAACCTGTTGCCGGGAGATATTCTACGGGTGTACTATATATGGTGCATATCATGCAACACAGTTTGTGCTTGGTGCAACAGGGTGTGACTTGCCCTGACATCCGTACTGCGATGCCTCTTCCTGCTACAGGGAGCCTGCAGGGAGAAGAAACAGATTTGCAAAGCGTGCCTCAGGATGGTCGTATCGAGTGCAGGTCCAGTGTTAAATGCATGGCCCATTGCATGGCTTATCATGTGCTCCTGCATTTAGAGAAAGTCTGAAGCTTTGTGAGGTTTCGTGTGATGAAGTAACTGCTTGCATAGGCGTAAAACTGCAAGTTTGGGGGCAGCTGCATATATTCATGGGTTGAGACCATTTCGTGCAGTTCTGTGTTTCTGTTTTGACATCGGCGCTACAGCGCCATCTTTCCGGACATGGCGGCGAGACCATTTGTTCAGAAGCTTCTGGATGTTGGCACACCTCGTGCTCTGATTGCAATCCTGTTCCTCATGAGCTACATGAGCGACTTTGCTTCTTGTTTGCAGCAAAGCAGCATAAACTGGGGAACACGCGCAACTGAGACATGTCACAAGCCTGGCAATACCTATTTGCCTTCTACATATATAAGGACAAGAGTCTTGGAGATCTCGACGTGGTGGAGATCTTTGCTGGTATTGGCGCCACACGGCGCATGAACAATCCGGTGCTTCCTGCATGCAGCAGCCCGCCCGGCCCCGAGGCGATCTACGAAGCTGCACAGCAACGAGGATATAGGGCCCGCAAAGTGGACAATGCGTATTCCGACACGAACGACATCTGCCAACCCTGGGGGTTTCTGACGCCAGCCTGCACGACTAGTCTGCAATCAGTTCTCTTATAAGTGTTCAAGTGTCTGCCTTGCCTCGCATCCGCTGTCTGTCATCCAGGTTGGCCCTCCTGTATATCAGGAGGCTTCGTGCTGGCGGCCTCTGCGTGATTGCTCCAGTGTGCCTCCTGTCTGCTTCTTAATTTCAGCTTCTTGAATCCAAAGCTTGCCGATGTTCTTCTTGCTGCGAAGGCATGAACTGCCTGTTCCCTGTTCTCTCCAATTCAGGTTCAGAAGGTTGTACGAATTTCGAGTTGGATGTTTGGGTTACTCGCTTATAAGATGGGTACGGCCCCCACTCAGTAACAGTTGGATATAATATTCATAATATAGACATAACAAGCCCTTAATAGTAGCCCTATTGTAGACTGTTACTGTATGGGGGCCGTACCCAACTTATAAGGTTGCTGGGTTTGCTGTGCGGTCTTGGATCTGAAGCTTTAAAGACTGGCCCGACGCCGCCCGATGTGCACTAAATCAATGCAGCCTGGAGCCTCTCTTATGCGATGGTCTTCAAGCAAATTGGGATCTGATAATAATGTCAGCTTTACACACCCTAAGGAGGCCTTCGATCTCCATTCAGATTCTATAAGACGTGGAGTCTCTGTTAATTGGGAGTCCTGATCACATACTGATTCGGGGAGCCATGACATACTGATTTGGGCTTCAATTCGGGAAGCAGGGTCGGCAGATGTGGGGTTTGCCACTACACAACTTATTTGGGAACTACAGGGAAGCAGTGTTGCTTGGATCCATGTATGTGTGCAGAGATACAGCAATGTGGGCCTTGAATAAGTGGAACAGGAAATCAGCAAGCTCCTGCAGCCATGGCTTTGGTCATTGCTGAGAAACACCTATATACCCTAGTCTCGAGCTTGGAGCGTCTGTGTAGGAAGGGATGCGTGGCAAGATTGGAAGTGTTGCTACAGTACAGGATTCAATTCTATTACTCGTGGTGATGCCTTGCATCAAGAAGTATAGTTTTGCTCTTCGCATTATCCTGAATCCTTCCATCATACTGTCTGGGTGAATAAATTAGCTTCAACGAAGATGCACTGTCCGGCATGTGGGTATCGAGCTACTGCGATGGCCCAACAATATATCGCAAGACCTACTTTGCGCTAATGCAGCCAATTTACTCGTCCTGACCCGGTGCCGCGATCTGTAAGAAGACGATGCGATTGATTTGTTGACAGGATTCAACACTTACGCGGCTGAATCGTGGAAGATTGACCAGCATTTCACCGCTCGGACACACATGCATGGGGCAGCGATCTGAGATGTGATGACTGATCGAGATCGAATGAAGCATGCGTGCTTGCATTGTCTTAATGCCGATATGTACTCGATGCGAATCCGAGCGGGTTGCAACATGCAGTTTCCATGTTCAGGCACTCTACCACTAGCCACAACAGATCTGCTTGATGATTGCTTGTGTACTACAACTATTATCTTATTGTCCATACGAAATGACTCAACATATGGTCATCCGTTATAACACCTCGCATGATGAAACCTTGGGCGTTGCTTGCTACATGTGGCGCCTACATGTCTGGCCGCAGACATACTCTTGATCTCATCCTGAAGTTGGGTTTCGCAGGCATGCAGGGTGCTTATATAGAGGGACGCTCAAACCGAGTCCGATATTGTCTACTCAAGTTGCATTCCTTTGCGTGACGCGCACAATACATTACTACATGTCGATCATTCTGCCTGCATGTTCCGCCAATCGACGCGTCCGATCACCTTAGAAACGGTGTTGCTTTGACGGCTGTTGTCGGGGTTGCTGGAGGGCAGGCTTCGAGGATGCTTCATTCCCTTTGTTTATAAGTGTTTCCTTCTTATCCGAGATATAGGACTATAGGACTGCTGCACACTGTTTCGGAATTTTGGTTTCACGCAGCCTGTTTCTGGGTTTTGCTCCATGCTTCAGGTTTTTTTCTCCCTAGGAGCCTCCACGCTTAAACAAGACCCCAAACGAAATCCTTGTCGAAAGCTTTCAGGCCACCAGAATCGGGCTATCATGAGGCCATAAATTGTGCTGTGATTAGAATTAATTGGAATCACAAGTAGAACTTAGGATTGTGCAAATGAGTTGTCGAGTCTAGACCTACTGCTTCAATTAGAATTGAATGCTTCCCCTAAGTTTTATGTAATATATATATATATATATGTATATATATATATATATATATATGTATACATAAACCTGCTCTGCACGGGTCCCAAATAGAAGAGAACCCATTCATCTTGTCGGCCAACAAGTGTAGCTGTCCCTTAACCCGAAGCAACCCCATCAACGGGAGAAAACGGCCAAGAATCGCAGCTGTCCCTAAACCCCATTTACTGAAGCAGAAAGACCGAAAACCCCTAAAACATTTGTACGACTAAACTATAAACCCGGCCCCATTGCTGCATCTGAGGTTCCTCATTCTGCTTCTTATGCAGCTCCGTCACCGGTCGCTGCGTCATGCTTCCAGAAGGCCTTCATCAATCTCCTTCAGTCCGCATGGGCAACTTATTGGCCAGTCGGACGGGGTTCGTTTGTTTGCACTTCTTGGGAATGTCTTTTGAAGTGTTGCAGAAGTCGGTGAAAAGCTTGCAGGAGTGTACTGTTCATGTACCTGGCCCGTGCCATGGGTGTTACTTTCCTGCTGGAACAACCGCAACACCACACGACTGGCGGCTTAGCTTCTCTCCGGATCTTCCAGGAGATGTACGCTTACATGCCGGTTGCCAAATTCAATAGAACGACCATTACGTCTCTCTACATACACGTGAGGCGTACTCAAATGCTCTTTAATTCGTTAATACAGCTGAGGTTTACAGGTTCAGCCTCGTCATGGCTGCCTTCGGAGCTGACACCCGTAAACCGAGCTGGCTCTTTTCGAACCATTTGTGCTTCCAGGACTGTCATGCAACTCTATGCTACAAGTGCCATGACGCTAGATCCTGTGACCCCAGACTCCGTATCGATCTTCATTCGACATCCCCACAGGATGTTGCGAGACGTTGCCAGCTTTGGCAAGAGCAACACAGGAAGGCTGCGTCCAAGGCCAGTGCCAAGAAAAAGGTGAAGAAAGCGATCGTCAAGAGGAATGTTGATGTCACTAGTCTGCGCAGAGACTGTACGATATATCCCTCAATTAAATCCAGGAACATCATCATCCCCGCCCGGCCCTCCTGGCTGCCCAGGCTGCTGGAAAGAAGACGGTCACCGGCATTCCGCCGCTGGTGCGGGCCACTCAGCCCCTGGGATGCAGTTTCAGGGTCGCCTTGTAGTACGTGTGATTCGCTCAGAGCTGCAAGACACCAGTATTTTCGCAAGACCAGCATTGTCCACTTACATGCGCGGCATATACATATGCGTCTGCTTTGAGTGTGGAGTTCTCCCTTGCAGGGAATACACCCCGGAGTTTGCGGAAGCCGTGCTCCACTCGTGGGGCGAGCGCTGCGACGATCAGCAGCGCCAGGCGATTGCGTCTGATTCTCCCGCATTTAAAGCATGTTATAGACTAGTCCTGCTCCTACTTAGATATGTATGCAGTGTTGGCAGGGTAGATACAAATCATCTGAACAGGGTCATGCAATAGTTCACTAGGACGGTACTGAATTGCAGCATAGCTAGTGCTGCATCTCTAGGAGTGTCACCTGCCACGCTACTTGTGCAGCTGACTATAACCCTTAACACCCAACCCCCAAACCCAAACTCTGAAACTCTTAGGCCTTCAACTATATATGCCTCGAAAAGCGACAGCTGTGCCACAAGCCCTTTCGTGCCTTGCTTTCGATCGAAAGAATCTGACCCTTCTGAGTCCCTGGAAGCCTCGGGGTTCCGGTTGACGGTTGATGGGCTGTGGAGTTTGTGCTTTAAGAACTTTTGTGAGGGGTGCATAATGACGTCGTTGCCGTGAGGTTTAGGCCTATTGAGGAGCTAGGGTAATATGGACGGGATCAGGGGACAGGCAATGGTCATCGATAAACCTGTGCCGTAAAGCCCTGAATGCAACTTAAACCGTAGAAGCTTTAACGTCTTAGAAAGCAATAAGAAACTTCTCCACCCGGCAGCCCTGAAACCATCTGAAGCCCCTAGATGCCCCAGTCCCGAAGTGTTCCGTTTCCAAAGCTAGGCCCACAGCCGGTTCCTTGAAGCTTCAATTTTACTTTGAGGGGTTATAGCAGTGATGTTTCGGACTTTGGGTTTCGGGGTTTTTTTCTGCATGTGCTGCAACTACTGCATCCCTGGAAGGAATGCCATGCTTGTCGCGCGTTGAACCACGACGTGCTGCCTAACATGTTCGAGAACGGAGAAGCTGATTATGACGAGCGAGCCAACATTGCCCTGCTGATGTCAGCTCCGATTGATTGGATGGAACAGGCTCCTAGCTCTATACTAGCCCAGCCCGATAACAAGCTCAGCTCTGTGGTGTGGACATATCCGAGGCTGAGCTGCTCCACGTCGTGCGATGGATGAAAGCTTCCGGGCGTTTGCAGCTGCCGTCGGCATGGCCTGCGGATTTTCCGTAGGTCGGGAGGACATCCAGGAGTGTGGGGGCCTTTAACACAGGCTGGGGAAAGCCTGCACGGAGAAAGGATCTCAGTCCAGGCCGATGAGGTTGCTGTTGCATGCTCCATGTGCAATGTAAAGTACCGACATGTACCGATGGCGCTTCCGCTGCCCTTGTGCTGTGCCGAATCCCGACTGAAGCCGATCCGAACATGGATGCTTGTGTAGCAGCACTTGCTCTAACCGCAAACAACTGCGCAAAATAACACAATGCACGCACAGGACACGGACCAGAATCTTAATTGCCCAACATCGTATCAACCAAAGGTGAACAAAGGTGAACAAAACATAAAAAACAACAACCGTGAACAACACAAACACAAAACAAACAACCATGACACGAATTTTAATGGAAACCACACCCCAACAAAAAAGCGTAAAAATGCGTAAAAACGCGTAAATGCTATGGGGCAAACTGTGCTTTGGGGGCAAACTGTGCTTTCGTGTGGAACATCGATTTTTATGTTAATTTCTGATTTTTTCTGACTTTTTCTGATTTTTTTTTTGAAAAAAAAATCTGCTTCGTATGCATACGTTTGCTGCTATGTTTGGGCACGTGATTTCTTGGAACGGTGCATGTTGTGTTGCAACACATACCGTGAGCCGGGAAAACTGTGCTTTCGGATCCGTGATATTATTAAAAAAGTGCGGTATCACTCTGATGACGTGTGCTGCCTGCTAGTGTTTCGTGTACTTAAGACGATGAACTACACTATGTCGTGGTGCAACACATACCGTGCCCGGGAAAACTGTGCTTTCGGATCTGCGATTTTTAAAACAATCTGGAACACTCTGCTGACGTGCGCTGCCTGCTAGTGTTTCATGTACTTAAGATGATGAACTACACTATGTTGTGGTGCAACACATACCGTGCGTGGGGAAAACTGTGCTTTCGGACCTGCGATATTATTACAAAATGCTGGATCACTCTGCTGACCTGTGCTGCCTGCTAGTGTTTCATGTACTTACGATGACGAACAGCGCTATGTTGTCGTGCAACACATACTGCGTCCGGGGAAAACTGTGCTTTCGGACCTGCGATATTATTACAAAATGCTGGATCACTCTGCTGACCTGTGCTGCCTGCTAGTGTTTCATGTACTTACGATGACGAACAGCGCTATGTTGTCGTGCAACACATACTGCGTCCGGGGAAAACTGTGCTTTCGGAGTTTCTAAACAAACACCTTAAAGAGAACTAACACCGCGGTGCTTGTATGAATTGCCTTGTATGATACTGCCGTGCATGGGTACAAATCAAATGCGTACATCACTTGTCTTGTGCTGCAACACACAACGGCAAAGCGCTTCATGGGGCAAACTGTGCATCCATGCAGGTTGCATTTCGGATTCAAAGCTTTTGCTGTTGGGCAGAGGCGCATAGGTTGTGTGCCATGGGTAAGAAAGCCGAGAAGAAGAAGCCCGAGAAGCCGCAAGTCCCTGACAACGCGGGTGCTGCTAGACTGAGACGAGGTATTGAATGGCTGGGTTCTATATAGGCTATTTAGTTCTGGAAGGGGGAAGAGCGTGCTCCTAGGCACTCGCGATGGAGATAGATTCGGCGATGTGCTTGGCCGCGCTTGGCCTCACGAGTGAGCAGCAGCAGCAAGTGCAGCAGCGCCTGCCGCCCACTTGAATCAGTGCATCACCACCATGTTTCGCCGTCCCCCCTACCTCCCAAGAATATCCCCTGCAAACGAATCCAGCCGGCCTGAAATTCAGGAGTTCTTTGCAGACTTCCACGAGCCCTACTGCACCGCCAAGCTCTTCAGCGACCCCTGCAACACCCTCGCCTCCGCCAGCGTCGGTTGAGCAGAGTTCCGCGGCTCCGTCCTCGACGGCCTCTCCAGGCACGCCAGGCTCGCGTGAAACGGAGGGCGACGGTGTGAAGAAGAGTCTCTCGGGCGACTTCGACTCGATTGCTCGACACCCTTCGACAATCACTCACGCTGCGTCCTTCGCTGAGAGCAACACGACCGGTGCAAGTGCAGTGCTGAGGGTCGGGGGGTTCATAGAAACTATCCAGCATGGACCCACCCGAAACCTTCAAATCCCAGCCTGCCCTGTCAGACTTTGGTGCCGCGCGACGCCTCTGCCGCCGTGGAGCAGGCGAACAAGAAGACTCCTGCCCGGAAGCCGACAGCCGCTCCGAAGACTGTGAAGTTCAAGGCCCGATCCTCGACATGGGTGCTTTGTGTCTGCGTGCACCTCCTATTATATGTAGAGACGAGCAGGGCGTGGATTGACTGTGTGTGTGGTGTGTGTGTGTGTGTGTGTGTGTGTGTGTGTGTGTGTGTGTGTGTGTGTGTGTGTGTGTGTGTGTGTGTGTGTGTGTGTGTGTGTGTGTGTGTGTGTGTGTGTGTGTGTGTGTGTGTGTGTGTGTGTGGTGGTGTGTGTGTGTGTGTGTGTGTGTGTGTGTGTGTGTGTGTGTGTGTGTGTGTGTGTGTGTGTGTGTGTGTGTGTGTGTGTGTGTGTGTGTGTGTGTGTGTGTGTGTGTGTGTGTGTGTGTGTGTGTGTGTGGTGTG